GCAATCGTGCTGTTAATACATCGTAGACTGTTCCGTATTAGGTCTAAACTACACAACTAGGTGTCAACTTTGTTTGAAAACCGCTAGCGTTTTCAATGTCCGCCACGTGTGGCTATGGACTTTGGAAATATAATTTGTAATCTGGCTATAAATGAATGACATTCCGATCAAGCCAAGCAGATATGTCTTAACAAATCGCACTGTGATGTAAAGAGACTGAAAGACTGAGAGCTAAAAAGAATCGTGTATATAAGAACGGTGCAGACACCAGCGGCGAAATTCTTGTCGAAGCTGTGAAAAGGCGGAGCTCACACAGAGTTCCTGCTGAGCTACAACGCGGCGCCCCGCGGTGTTGCAACATACAAGGACAGCATGTACCACAAAACGACTCGTTGTTAATTCATGAAATCCTATTCAGTGGGTGACATTTGAAGAATTTCAATTTAAACAGGTAGAAAATTGCCTAGTAAATGAACAAAGGTTTGGTTCATCAAAGGATATTCACAGAGTTCGTACAAGACACTGCCAATCACAACCGATTGACGGAATATATGGCGGAAAAATTGCGTGTTCTAAATTTGCCGAGAGTGATGTTGCCTTGAGTGGTTTTAGAGAGCTTGTTGGAAAGGAATCGCATCAGCTCTACTCAGAAGACTTGACAGATTTCCGATTCAAATTGTCCCTTTTAAAGAAATTTAGTTTAACCTTTTGTCCTCTCAATCATTTGTAATGGGGTCGAAGAAATACAGGCGACTACGTTTGTTACAATGCAATACGATCCAATCTGAAGACTCTCTGACTAATTGTTTTGTTTCTATTTTACATAAATTTGTTCCGCTGTGAGGTGAATACAGAAAGACAAGACCAAACTATGAGCAAGCCTTTGTTAGTGATCTTTTTTATTTTTAGTCGGCTGCTACACGCCAAGATTTCGGCCGCTTTGAAAAACAGCCAGTCAAGTGGTTACATACGCATGGTATGACACACACCGGATGACGGAAAGCAAACATTAATTAGAGAGCGGGTGCGAAAAAGCAATACAACAATGACAAAGTCAAGAAAGGAAGTAATTTAGAAAGTAAACTACGAAATCAAAAAGCTAATTCGCTCCTGTGAGATTGAGACAAACCGAGAAAGCGGCTGCGGAATTGTTTTGGCGCTGAAGTGAAATATAAAGCGACAAACTGGTGGGTTTTAGTAGGAAAAAATATGCGTTTATGAGTAGCTTAGTGCATAAAGAAATCTGTTTACATGAGGCCTGACGTGTTTAAAGGAAGTCTGTGATTTAGTTCATCGAGAGCGGAGATCTGAAAAGAATTCCTTGCCGGAGTTCTAAGTTTATAGAGGAATAGCACTGTGAGCATATTGTTTACATCTCAGTGAACAGTCAAATGGCGTGTACATTCTTACACCTCGTGCCAAAAATATGTCCTAAGCTAGTGGTTTCGTTAACACTTTTCAAGGGGTGCGAAACCAAAGGATATTACAAATTTGTAAATAAAATGTTATTAACGTCTTGAAAATTTCTCTTGATTGTGCTTAAAGCTAAGAGATTTTGAGATAAACCGCAAGACGTGCCGCTTGCCAGCGGGTACAATTCACGAACATTCTCTGATTTCAACCTTTAAAAGGTATCTTACTGTACTAAGCGACTGAAAAATGCCTTAGAAGAAACTCACACCTTCACACAGCTGCAATGTCAAAGTGAGAACAGAGCTTAATTTCCCTAAAATGCCACAGTTTTGAACACAAGACTCAAGTTAAGCTGGTAACGATCTATTCTAATTTTAAGCAAGTGTATTTTTAACACTCGATGTGCTAGGGATCTTGGTAAAGCCTGAAAAATGTTTACATGGAATCATATGATTTACAACACACGTGGTTAGAGAACGGAGACTATATGCCCCGCTGAAGTGACAATTGAAACCATTCGCACATTAGTTGTCTGGCAGAACGTTTTTAAATCTACTCGACCACGCCTTCGTATAGGCAAACTCATACTCAAGCAGTTCTTTTACATTTAAATTAAACTCGATGAAACTTTTGCGTTTCAGATCTGACGTTGTCAGTATTCTCACAAGCAGACTTGCAATAAAAGCTTCCCTTCACAAGCAACAACGAGAGTAAAAATTATAAGTTACCTTATACTGTGTTCGTTGGAATAATCTGAATAAAATCACTTTGAAAATTAAAAGCTCTCCGCTTATTTTTGTCTAAAGCCGTCATTATTCTGAACCATTTGTTGGTTCCATAATGAATAAAAAAACCCTTTGAAGTCGGCTTCTGTGTCCTGTTGAAGATCACAACAATTATTCCGTCCGGACATTGTCATAAGCACTTTTGTAAATCACAGTTTTTAACTATGAATTTTTTTTTCCAAAAGATTGATTCAAGGTAAGGGATCTAAAAAGGAGTAACGCATCCTATACCTTCAACGAAAAAGGAAATGAGTGGGTTCAAAAAACCACAACGATAAATTCTCGTTTACAAATTTTCATTTTAATCCCTCTAGGTGTAAGAGACACCCAAAATCAAATTCGCTAAGTAACTGCCAGAGGAGACACAAAGGGGCACACGGGAAAATTATCAGTAACTGCGGTCGATATTATTAGTATCTTTGGAGCCAGATTTCTAGAAATTTAGGCATTATTTCCCAAGGCACGTCGAAGGCATAATTAGCAGCTCTCGTGTAATTGGCAATAATACCACATTTCTGTAAACAGGCTGTTCAAAGGGACCGCCTTGAAAACTTCCTTTAGCAGCATTTAAACCGCCTCACAATAGATGCAAAGACCGTGCTTGTGAGTGCGCCTCGTAAGTGAGTGCATTTTACGTTGAACCCCATTTAGCAAATCAAACCGACGTATCGAAACTTGACCGGAAAGTGAACCCTTTTTCCCTTTAAGCTATTTTGGCATATCTCGGACTTCAAAAGCGCCCCGCTCTACTCTGTTATAAACATAGGCCTTTAAAATATCTAAACCCACACAACAGAGTTGAGATAAACTTAAAAAAAAGTGTTTATTATTCTTTTCTCGATTACGATTAATATACAGGATTCAAGCGAAGCAAGACATCTTATTTACATCGAATTGTACAATTTTCGTTTCCCTATCGTAACGATACTTATTGGAACCAATTTAAATTTTACGTGCGATCCACGCACGAGTATAAATATTTGAGTCCTCTGAATAAAATATTCCTTCCTTAGTTACAGCAAGGATATATTTAAATTTTCCTACGACAACGAATTCTTTTCGAGTTTTAATATATTACAACGCGTGAAAATTAAAGTGGTTTATTTCTAGGATAAATATATCTCGTGTCCACAGAGTTCCTTTTTTTTTTGTTCTCGGTCATGGCCGTTTCATTGTCAGTTAGTGCTCCACGTTGATAAAAGTATCAACATTTTGAACGTCCATTTTGTCGTTTTCATCCTGTTTCGGTGTCAAGGCGAGTACACTACTCAACTGAGCTAGCCTTTCGCCCTCTTGTACATCAATATTGAGTTCTATAGAAATGTCCTTTACATCGGGTTCCACTTTGATGTGATCTTCCTCTGTTTTATCAACGCTTTTCTTGACATTATTTTGATGGGTCTTTTGGTGTTTTCTGAGATGATCGCTACGCATAAAGCGCTTGCCACACTCGGCGCATTGGAAGCGTTTCTCGCCAGTGTGCGTTCTCAGATGCCGTTGTAGCTCGTCAGATCGCGTGAAGCTCTTGCCGCAAAATAACCAGTTACAAACGAACGGCCTTTCGCCTGTGTGCCAGCGAAGATGAGCCTTTAGATGAGACGTCTTGCCGTAGACCTTCCCACAACCAGGAATGTGACAAACGTGCTGCTTTCGCTTTGTGGTGTTCCCAGTTGTGGCAGCGAGTTGACAGTTAGGACAACGACACCGTCTGCATCTCCTAGTCCCTGTTACTTGATTAGACAGCGATGCAGCGTTGTATGGGCTGGTGAGATGATAACTCGCGCCTGGGTTTGCATGATAACTCATGGACGAGATGTGGCTTGTAGATGCAACGGACAAACTCGGCGGAACTGCGCTGGAGATCGGGCTGCGTACAACAGTTTTATTTGGCTCAACACTCCACCAGTGAAGGCCTCCAATGTCGCTGCACTCGGTTTTAAACGCCGCCGTGCAGCTCAACGATAAGGGACCACTTCTTGTCGAGCCAGGACAAGCGTGTACCGCAGCCATGCAAGGGGAAACGGGTCCATGCGAAGGACTCCCGTGAGACACGGCGAAATTCTGATGGACATGGCTCTTAGGGGAGGCAGACAGATAGAATTCTTGAAACGGAGAGAAATGCGATTCGGCTGGTGGTGTTAAAGGCAGCATTCGCTCTCCGGGACAGCTCATAATTTGGCTCATGTTCACTGCATGTTGGCTCAGCTCGGGCAGAACACCGCCGGAAAACTTGCCGTGACATTCGTAGTCGCGGTGAGAACCTGACTGACCGATTCTACTACAAGTAGCAGCCAATAAAGCCAGCGGAGAAGGCTTGCGATATTCCTGTAAAAAATAACAACGACAAACAGTCAGCAACGAGGCGGTTGTAAACGCTATGCCGATTTAATAAATAATACACACAAATAGCAACTTTTAGCGACTTTCGTAAGGCGCTGAAAATCCCGTAAATGAAATACCTACGTGAGAAAACGGAAAATACTCCGGTCTTGCTAGAGCAGCCGTTGCCATTTCGTAATAAATCGAGGATGAACTTTTTTTGTAAAAACACTACTGGAATATCACAGCGTTCAATACGATCTTTCGCGTCCAAGAACCGAGACTAAAGTGAAAGCTACCTTTCTACACACGCACAAAGCATTCAGCTGGTTTGAGAGCCGGTGGCGGGGAAAACAGACTAAATGTAATTAGACAAACGAAGCCGACCGCCAATGAGAGGCCAGAGGCGGAGACTATTGCTTATAGCCTTCTCACAGCAATGTTGTTATCGTAAATAAGGTGCTATTATCACAGATGATATGGGAGGAGCGAGAGGGCGGCGAACTAATGAACAAAATCAAAAGAAGAGACATTTTATGATTGGATTTCCATGATCAAAGCGGCCCGCCGCTAATCGCGCGCCGTGATTGGTAGACACTTTATAAACAAGCCGCAGCTCGACCCTTGAAAGAAAATCATTTGTTATATTATTGTGTATTTCCGTTATCACGCCACATTATTGTCAGCACCTTTAAAAGTACTGTCATCGTTCGCAAAAGAGACCGCCTTTATTTAAATAAGAAAGGCTTCTGCAATACACTTGTGAAGGGGGCAAACAGGCCATTGTCCGAGTAACAAGCTATAAACAATTAGAGTCTTGTGCACGAGGTATACTGTGGCTTTTCGCGATAAAGATGCTTGAGGTGTTAACCTTTCATCGTGCCGCGCGTTTCACTCAATTGTTTACACGGCGAGAAAAATTCATGTCAGTTTTACGACAGCATAGGGCTTGATCCTGGCACTTTCCGGCTATTATTTTTACAGCAACGCCAGAATATAAACATTTTGTTGATGCGAGCTTAAATTCGCTTTTAATGTCAGTTTTATGGGGGCAGAATGTTCTAACAAGCGTGCGCGCTTACTAATTAGAAACCCGCCCTCCGAGACCGCCTTAAGGTCCACCTTAGGTTTACGCGGAGCTGTGGTTGTGCCAATCAACTCAGGTCAGCGTTTTCGCTTTCTGGCACTGTAAGCAACACGGTCTCGGCGATATTCTGACTGAGAACTAAAATTGCACTCAGATATCTGTGCGATCGAGATGACAGACTGACATCGACTGTTTATAGGTAATTATTGATGGTCCTCGCTTGTCGAGACAGCGGCATCCTTTGAGTTGGTGGATCAATTTCGACCAATTTCCTCGGCTAACAATTAACAAGTTATTCTCACTCTAACCGTGATTGAAGGGTGTCAGCGATTTTTCATCAGCCTCAGGTGCATATTTCACTACTATTTATTTTATTATGCAGGTTAAAGCTTCTAAAACCTGTAATTGAGACAAATCGCTGCTCAAAGAAACCCCCTTTTTCTTAGAAACAGCCGTAGATTTACCGGCTTTTAATATTGCTCTGGTCAATGTTTTGGCCAAACAAAAGAAGCGCTTGCCGCTTGATTACAATGAAATTCTTTTTTAACAGATTTCCTTCACGTCTGAAGACACGAAAGCTCTAAAACGAGAGCAAAAACAAAATCCCGGAACATTTCTGTAAACCACCGCAAACGCACAACCAATTTTTAGCGCCAATCGACTTAAAACACTTTAACTTCAGGGCTTAAGAATCGCTGATCTGCACCGATAAGAAACAGTGGGCCAATATACTTCTCAGATACTCTTACAACGATTACATGTCTCTGACTGACTCTTGGGAAACACTCGGGCGCAGAAAGAACAATAGCTTGCTATCCATTAAAGACTCCTGAACGAGGGCGAAAACACGAAGGAAGGGTTGTTTCTGCTACTGCTCGCCGGCTATCCTTCGACTTCACTGTGTTGGCTTTTCCGAAATCATGTTGTTGAGTCTTAAATAAAGTGAGTTGAATCGTACTAAGTTCCGCTCCTAGGGCTTAGCAAGATTAAAAAGTTTCATCAACGCGGGGTTTAGCGGCGTGTTGTATTCAAATAAGCCACGGGGGTGCTGAGAGAATAAAGCAAAACTCAGTGATGTAATTCTTTTTTGCTTATCATAAACGTAGGGATTATAGCAGTCAAGGCGCCAGTCCGGAGCCGAGATCGGCGGGAACCCATCTATAATTCACATTGTTTCCACTTAGCAAAACTCATAAATTTCGCCCCGAACTGAAAGAAAAATATCCGATGATGCAAACTTTATTGCAAAACTGTCGGGGCACAATTAAGTATTTTTGCCCAAACCACACTATTAATTTGGTTTACGGCGACCGAAGAGGAGGACTTTTATCAATCTCTTTGCCCGAAGTATTGAAGCTCGCAGAATCATCCATAAATGCTAAATTTTTTCTCTTGAAATTTGGTTACAGCGTGATGGGATTTTAGTCTTGTCAACAACCTTGACTAAGCGAACTGTCAACTAAAAGAGATTTTGAACAATGCTAACGTCTAACAAAAGTCGGCGACTTCAAAGACACAACTTTGCATTCATAGATCTTTCTTTATAATATATTTGCCACTAATTGAATATTTATTCTTCTGCCTCAGAAAATTGTCATTTCGTAAAAAGCATCCTGAAAAATAAGACAATCAAACATTCTCGGTTCAAGAATAAGCCGATTTTTCTAATTGCTGGCAAAAATAGGAAGAAAGAAAGTATTAGAAAACACTGTAAACCCCTCAAAGACCAGAAAAACCGCTTCTTCTCAAAAAAATTCCCTCAAAGTAAACAACGGGTTTACTGTTTGCGCGGACACTGCATTGGGTAAAAATTCAATTTTCGCTTTCTTTCCTTATCATGTTTTTGTATGTGTTAATTCTGTTTGCTCTGTTTGTATAGTACATGGGAAAAACCAACGGCATCTCCGAAGAAATAACGTGAACTCTGAAAAAGCTTACCTACTTCTGCACCTCTGCAGAAAAAGCAATTCAACTTTGTCAAATATGAGAAAATTTCGTGAATATTATCAATTTTTGTTTCCATTCAGTGATGGATTTGCTATAAAAGGTTGGATAGTATATTACACGACCTAATAACCGACATAAGATATTGGACAATTTTCTTATTTTAGCCTGAGGCAATTTGTCTATTAACGAAATGATTCACACGGATAAAAAACCTGAGAAGTTCACATCAAAAAATCAACAAAGCTCGCGCGGTTCAACAGAAAGAGTAAATCTTGTAAATACCGCCGACTGGGTGTGTGTTTGTTCCTCAGTAATCTCTCCGTTATCAATTCTGTCTTTCTTTCTACTTTTCACAGTTCCGTTGTACACGTTCTAATCGGTATCATCGCTGTGATTTTCGAAATCTTTTAAGCTGTCTTATGGCGACCACCGAGAAGAAAAAAATGTCTCCGGTTGATTTGGAAAGCAATCATTCTTTGCGCTACAAAGTGTAATCTACGTGCGTTACAAATGGTTTCCTCGATTTCCTCTAAATTCTCTGTATCTGTTTCACGCAGTCTAACAAACTTTACATTTGCGAAACAGGATAATTACATAAGCCGCTCAGGTGGCTGAATTCTGAACCCTAACTCTTTTATTTTCTCACTGTTTAAAATTGTATCTGCAGATGCCTTGATGAATACTTTACTTTTGCAAAAATAAACAGCCCTGAGGCACTAACATCAGAACTTGCCAAGTCTCCGCTAATGTTAAATTTCTTGTGTAAACTTCCTTGTGCTAGAAACTCTCTGCCAGTGAAACTGTCAAATGCCTCTTTTCGGTGAACGCGAAGAGGTAAGTGTCTTTCCACCGAAATCTGCCAATCTCTGTCAAGTAATTACAACAAAGCTGATATTAAGAGCCTGCCAGCCTACTCTGAGCGCATTTTCAATAAAGGCGGTCGCTTTTGAACTCTATTTTTATGGCGACTGATAAGGGCAATTCAGCGAACACTTGGCACGCGTTTTGATTCGCGAAGATAAAAGAAGCTCTTCACGTTGGCGCTTGGTTGTCTGCTGCCAGACCCAATATACTCTGTTTTACTTGAAAACGAGCTCTATTTCCGAGTAATTATAGCCACAACGAGTCTTCCGTTTTAAAGAAACGCGAGGTAAAAGTCCTGTTCCCTCTTATAAACAGACCGAGTCGCTGTGTCTGTAGCTCGAGGCTGTGGTCCTGTACCGCCACGCGAGAATAAATTTACCGCTTCCCTTCCCATGTCATTAAAATTACACCAAAGAGGCACTCGAGAGCCAGCAAAGCAAAACCTTGTTGAACATCAGTCAAACTAGAGTAAATGTGGAAGAGTGGATTAATCCAAAGACCTAGCTCTGTTTCAAGTAAGAAGAATCATCGAGCTGTGAAATTCCAAGCGGTCGGCAAGTAAATGTCGCTTTCTGATGATATTAAACCTCCAATACTGTTCTCAAACATTTCCGTTTGTATTTAAGATAAGGCTTAGGTTTAGTGTGTACTTTTATTGCACCGTTTCCAGTAATAAAAGAGTTTACAGAAACAAGGGCATCTCCGAAAAAATGTTATTAAAAACTTTGTTTCAATACAGTCATTTCCTTCGCTTTAACGAGATATTGTTTAAAATTGCAAGACTTGAATCTCTCATTGCACATGTAAAAAGAAGAATAAAAATCACTTTAGATCAAACATGGTTACGATCTAGTTCACAAGCTCTATACACCTGTCAATAATATTGATTCGGAAAGTGCAGAAACTCTACTAAAATGGATATTTCTCCGGCGGTTTCTAGTGCTCGTTGTTTAGGTAAATAATCGTTTTATCACTGTGATGCACTGTTGTAAACTTTCTGATACAAGTCGCCGTTTTGCCGAACCCTTAACAGGATCCTTGAGGTTGCGACAAATCGCCTATCTTTGTCAAATAACATTTGAAGGTATTAAATTTCAACATCAATGAAACGAAGGAAATAAGCGCGATTATGAGATGATTAAGCTCTTTGATCGTTTCCTGCCACCAAACAGTAGAAATTATCATCTGGGTGATAACACCGCTTATTGCACGGGGAAGAAAATATCCGCAAGGCACTGTCAAGTCAAATAACTGGGTCGCAACTCCGAGATAAACGTTTTAGGCAGGGGGAGTGAACACTGATTCCAAAAAAGACCCGCTGGGCCGAGAAGAGTGCAATAAATCCCGTATTTGAATTTGTTATTACTTTTTTCTCTCTATTAGTACAATAATGTCATTGTCTTAGATCTTGAGTTCACTGTTTGATGCCCTGAAAGGGGGCAGAAGGTGTTTGTTTAGAAAAAAATCTTTAATTTGGTCAAGTTATTAGAGGGGAGCCCTCTAGTTGTAAGACTCGGTTTTGCAAGTTTATTAAGGAGACAGTAGTTGCAAACGAGATCTGTAATTGTGCAGTTATCGCTTAGAAACCGTTCGCACTAAGCTTCATTCCAGTTACTAACGAGTGATCAAGCGACGAAATATTTTCATGGACGTTTCGCAAACATAGAGACAGACTTTCTGGTGTTCATAATTATCTCTACGACCGGTGTAATTTTTTTACTAAGATTATGCGTTTGACTGCTCAGATACTTTCTAAGGTTGGATTTGCTTGAATTATGCGCTGGCGTAAGGCATATTTCCGGAGACATGGAATAAATTGAAAGTAACCTAATGAGGAAAAAACAAAAGAAAACCGCAAGGCGGCTTTTCCACGACAAAAAAGATTACTAGGGTTGGTTTGCTTATTCAAAATTGAGAAAAAAATTGAACTAGTAAATCACCAGCTTAGTTACTTTACAGCATAATAAAGAACGCTTCAAACTAAATAAGCATCGGTGAGTTCGTAGATATAGTTTTTCAGTAACCGCCGAAAGAGAGAAAAATGGATTCTGATTGTATGTGTCCTGAAACAACCTCGAAGGTAAAAAAAAAAAACCCAAACTTTCACTAGCTCGCAGCTCAAGTAAATTTTCTGGCTCGATTCTACAAACGGAATGAAGTTCAATTCTTGCCGTTGGCAACTAAAGTCTTGCACCATCTCTCCAATATTCTGTTACACAAGCCATAAAGCGAAACAAAGCCGAAACAGTTGTGCTCGTTTGGAAGAAAACCGGCTCGTGTTTGGAAGACACAAAGAGAAATACAAAGCAAATCGAAAACAATAAACAAAATACTTAAAGCACACAACGCATCGCAGTAATCTCAATGTTTGGAAAAACAGAGAAACAAAAACATTTAACAAGTAAAAAAAATTGCAGACATGTTAAAACCGCTTCATGAGTGGATGCAATATTCAAAACAAAAATATCGAAACGCCAACATACACTCTCTGTAGTTGAAACAAAAAAACTGTAATTCAAACAAATCTTGATAAAAATAATAATTATAATAATAATAATAATAATAATAATAATAATAAATCCTTCTGTGCTCAATTTACTGATCGCATGAAGGAACTCTTGTAATGAGCAATGGTAGATTTTTCAAGGCTTGGAAAAGTTACACCTATATCACGTCCAAAAAAGGATGCGTTCATCCAATTAATGAGAAACACGCATGTATAGTGTTAAATGCAAAAGAAGACTTGATGACTTACAAGGCCGGAATTACATCACAATTCTTAAACAGTTCAGCGTTGTTTGCTTACAACTGTCGATACAACTCACATCTCAACAAACTTTTAAACGCAGAAAATCTGTTTCTTTTCTTTTTCTTTTGGCTGAGCTGGAGGAAAGGGCTTAAAACTTTACAGTCTCTCCTTTTAGACAGAGAGGCCCCTTGGATATAAGTTCTAAAAATTGTGATACCTTCGCAAGTTTAAAATTGCTTAAATTGTAGAAGGCTTTGAACATTAAAAAGTAGCTTGCTGAGGAACTAGAAAACAAATCCCACGGAAATGGAAATAAACAGAAAGAGGCTGACCAGGATGGCTGGGGATTTGAAAGATGAACAAGGAACGTAAATCTTGAAGTGAAAAATTTCGTCTA